TGGAATTACAGGCATGCGCTACCACGTCTGGCTGATTTTTTGATTTATTGTAGAGATGAGGTCTCGCTGCCCAGGCGGGTCTTGAACCCGCGGGTTCAGGCAATCCACTCACCTCAGCCTCCCAAAGGCATGGGATTACAGGCTGAGCCACCGAGCCCGGCTGGTTATACATTTTTTAAAACATGCAAATACCGTTAGGCTTTCAAAGAATTCTATGCTAGTTATATTTGGGCTTTTCCCAATTCACAGTCAACATGTTCTCTTTAGAAATGCTAATGAATGGCCCAGAAAGGTAGGTCTGAGAGCTTTTTGTGGGTGCTTCTCTTTACTTTCAAACAATGCCTTCCAGAGCAGCCAGACTGCTGAGGGATGAGGGATATGTCTCCTGCTTGTTCTCAGAATTTCAGACTCTGTGCAGGCTGCATTGTGTCTCCAACACAGCCTTTTATGACTCTAGATTGAAAGCATATCAATGGCAAAGGCAGGAGGGATTAAATGTCCTGGAGTAGCAACTTAAAAAATACTTGAATTTAACTCCTCCCATTCCGCCCTTTTTTTTAAAGCTGGAATCTCACTCTGTCACCCAGGCTGGATGCAGTGGCAGGCTCAGGGCTAACGTAGCCTCGACCCGCTATACTCAGGCCATCCTTCCAAGTAGCTGGGACTACAGGCACATGCCACTATACCTGGCTACTTTTTTGATTTATTGTAGAGATGATGTCTCACAAGTTGCCCAGGCTGGTCTCTAACCCCTGGGCTCAAGCAATCCTCTCATCTGGGTCTCCCAAAGTGCTGGGATTACATGCATGAGCCACCACACCTGGCTCACCTAACCCCTGTAGCTGAGATGCTCAAAACAAACAAGGGGTCGATTTTGTTTTTTTTTTTTTGAGTTGGAGTCTCACTGGAGCACAGTGGCACACTCATGGCCACCCCAGCGCCGACCTGCTGGGCTCCGGCGATCCTTCTGTCTCAGCCTTCCAAGTAGCCGAAACTACAGGCATGTGCTACTATGCCTGGCTAATTTTTGATTTATTGTAGAGACGAGGTCTTGCCAAGTTGCCCGGGCTCGTCTCGAACCCATAGGCTCAATCCACTCACCTAGGCCTCCCAAAGTGTTGGGATTATAGGTTGAGCCATCGAGCCTGGCCAGGGGTCAAATTTTACCTTGCTTTGAAGACAAAGTACAACTTGCTCAGATGCTGCAATATCAAAAGTAGCTTTTTAAAAGGCAGAGCAATGGTTTAATAGACAAAACCTGTCTAGACCGGGTTCTGAAAAGTTATCAATTTTCCACTTCAGAAATTGTTAAATCCGGATGCCTGCTTATAGTAGCCAAATTATCAACAGGGAAAAGTCCTATAACCAGAGGAAACATTCCTACTGAGAATGAGAGGCTGAAAAATATCAGCAAAGGTTCATTCATATCAATACTAACACATGAGGGGGAGCTTTTTTGTTTTGTTTTTTTGTTTGTTTCTGTGAGTTGGAGTCTCCCTCCCTCGCCCAGGCTGGAGCTCAGTGGCATGCTCATGGTCACCCCAGCGTCGACCTGCTGGGCTCCGGTGATCCTTCCACCTCAGCCTTCCAAGTAGCCAGAACTACAGGTGCATACTACCACATCTGGCTAATTTTTAAAAATTTATTATAGAGATGAGGTCTTGCCAAGTTGTCTGGGCTGGTCTCGAACCCTCGGGCTCAGGCAATCCACTCATCTCCGTCTCCCAAAGTCCTGGGATTACAAGTTGAGCCACCAAGCCCAGTCATGGGGGGAGCACATTCCAAAAAGCATCTGAGAACTCCAAACTTTGACTTCTGCACACACCTGGATGGAGACGACAGCCAGATTTGCTTGTTTGGGGTCTGCTTGTTGATCACGTAGGTTCCTAGATCCCCACCCAGTTTAACTGTTAAGACACCACTCTAGGGGATCAGGTGGAAAAAAGCATGAAGAAAAGACAACACAAAGTTAACTCCTTGTCATCATGTTGTGTTACATCTCAACACTTTCCACTGATACAAGCACACAATATACACCATAAAAATATTTTACATTCACCATGTAGAAATAGGAGATGGTGTAGAAAAAGCACAGCTTTCGGAGTCAGAACAGGACCCATCACAGGTGGGGATGGCCAGGCGAGAACGGTAACAAGGCTCGGGGCTGTGAGGGACTTGTCTGAGGTCATAGCGCGGCATTTGGGGCAGCTGGCTTGCTGCCCTGGCTTCCAACCAGAACATACTCAAGGATGTGAAAATGCAGATGCCAGCCTATTAGAGTACTATGTCGGCCCACACATCAGACACGGCAAGTCCATTACCACAAAAAAGAAAAAAAGAAGGAAAGAAGGAAGTACTCAAGCCACCCGCTTTGCAATAGCCTCAGCTCTGTTGCTAGAAGGCGAAACTCCATCCCAGGTTTTTTATTTCCAGACTCTTCCCACGCATCTAACAAGCTTCTTCTCATATGCCCCTCCAAGGCTTTATTTTCCTCTAAAGAGCCTCGAATTCTTCAAAAGCCTGGCTGGTCTATCTTTGACCGATAAATACACATTTAAATTTGAAAACATTCATTCAACAAAGGAGTCCTTTACTCCCAAGGCCTGTGGTCGCTTTAGAATGGGCAGGATATGAAAGAAACAGCCACAGAGCTGAGATGCCTGTGTTGGAACTGGTAAGCAGGTGTGGGAGGGGGCTGCTGCTCCCGGTCCCGTATGTAACTTGCAGAGACACATGGGGGCCTTTTTCTGTGCATTCTAGAGCCCCCTGTCCAATCCAGGGGTGCCAAAAAGTTCTTACAACATATCTGCAAACACAAAGAGTTATTTCAATGCTCAAGGGGACTAACAATAATTATATAATTGATATGAATGGGATGGGGGCACTTTTGAGTTACTTTTAAAAATAGTTTTTGTTTTAAAATTTTTTTGCAGCCAGGCGCGGTGACTCATGCCTGTAATCTCAGCACTTTGGGAGGTGGAGGTGAGAGGATTGCCTGAGTCCAGGGGTTTGAGACCAGCCTGGGCTACTTGGTGAGATCTTGTCTCTACAATAAATCAATAAAAATTAGCTGGGTGTGGTGGTGCACGCCTGTAGTTCCAGCTACTTGGAAGGCTGAGGCAGAAGGATCACCTGAGCCCAGCAGGTGGAGGCTGTGGTGGCCGTGAGAGTTTTACTGCACTCCAGCCTGGGTGACAAAGTGAGACTCTGACTCAAAAAAATAAAAAAAAATTTTTTAAAGTTTTTTTTGCAGTGGTGTGATCATAGTACACTGTAGCCTCTAACTCCTGGGTTCAAGCCATCTTCCTACTTTAGCCTCCCAAGTAGCTGGAACTATAGGTCCTCCACCTCACACAGCTAATTTTCTTATTTTTTTTGTAAAGACAGGGTCTTGCTATGTTGCCTGGGCTTGTCTCGAACTCCTGGCTTTAAATGATCCTCCCAAAGTGCTGGCATTAGAGGTGTGAACCACCACACCCAGTCAATAACATTTTTATTGATTCTAAAGAAATGTATTGATTCAAAAAGAAATGTATAGAGATGGTAGAGACACTGGCAATGCAGATAGTATAAGTAAGAAGAAAACATTGATAAAAATATGAACTACGATTTACTCTGTCCTTACTCTGTGCCAGGCTCTGTGTGTGACACTTGGTGTGAATTGTTTCTAATCTGACCACAACCGCAGGAGGTAGGAATCGTTATACCAATTTTATGAATGAGAAGAACAGATGGTCAGAGTATTAAGAATATTTAGGGAGGCCAAGGCAAGTAGATTGCCTGAACCTGCAGGTTCGAGACCCACCCAGGCAACTTGGCGAGACCTTGTCTCTACAATAAGTCAAAAATTAGCCGGGTGTGGTAGTGCACACCTGTAGTTCTGGTTTACTTGGAAGGCTGAGGCGGAAGGATCACTGGAGCCCAGCAGGTCAAGGCTGCAGTGGCTGGGAGCGTGTCACTGTACTCCAGTCTGGGTGACAGAGTGAGACTCCAAC